GCTGGTCCCTCAGGTCGCAGAAGGTGCCCCACTGCAACCACGGCATGTGGACCTGCCGGAAGTTGGCGCATTTGGTGCACCCGCTGATGCCCGCAACGCTGGTGTCCTCAGGCGGTGCATCTCAATCTATCTCTCTCTCTCTCTCTCTCTCTCTCCCTCTCTCTCATTCTCTTTCTATGCAAGTATATGTATGTGTAAATGTGTATTCACGTGGACGTACACATCGGAGTGAGAGGCCATCGCGGTCTTACAATGTCCCTGCGCGTGTGGATGGTGTGGGGACCCTCGGAGAGGATTATGCTTGTTGTTGTAGTTGTCGTCCCAGCGGGCGGGTCGCGGCGCGGGTGGGCCGCGGCACGGGCGGGTCGCGGCGCGGGTGGGTCGCGGGCGGTTTGGGGCGCCGATGGGTAACGGTTGTGTGGCAGGTGGGTAGCGGGTGGGTCGCGGCGCGGGTGAGGCGTTCGGCCCCCTGAGTGACCGCCCTCGGGGGTCTCGGAGCCGTATCGGGCCCCTCTGGCAGCCGCCTGAATGCCCCCAGGAATGCCCCAGAGGGCCCCGAGGCGGATCCGCGAGGACACGGGGACTACCCAAAGAATGCCCCAAGAGAAGTCACGCGAAGCCTCCCTTGCGTGACCGCTCACGGCCCCCCCTGGGGGGGGGCCTCTCGGGGGCCTCTAGGAGCCGTGCCAGGGCTTCCCGAGGGCGCATGGGGAGGGTTTAAGAAACCCCGATGGGGCCCCAAGAGGGCCCCAAGAGTGCTCCAGGAGGGGGGCGCCGATAGGAAGCTCCTACATGACCGCCAGAAACACACTGCAAACACATGCCCCCACCGCCACTGCTGGGACATGGAAGCAACTATGGGGCGCCTCGTTCGGGTGGACGGGCACCAGGCCTGCATTGGGACTTCCGCTGTGCAGGGGCCCACCGAGACGGCGTTGAAGTGCAAACGAAAGCCCCGAGTTAACTATCAAGGGGCCCCGAGGGAGCCCACAGGGCTGCGAACATGGCACCAATACTGCCCCGATATGTTCGAGGGCCTACGTTGCCCCCATGCTCTACTACATGAGTGAACGTAACCATCACCGCCCCCAGACACGCCCTCCATGGTGTCATTTCCAGAACGGCTGTCGGGGGCGTTTGAAACGCCAAACACTTAATATTCAACGCACCCGCGCGGTCCACTTGCTTCACGTGGCAAGCGTCGCAGATGCCCGCGACGCGGCGCCTCTTGCTGGAGTAATCGAAGCACAGCCTTTCCTGCTGCGGCGCACCGCCGCGGCTGGATGCTTGCCTCGGGCCTGCGCTGAACGGGCGTATGGGTCGTGGCACTGAAGAGTTCGCTCCGCTGCCAACAGCACTGGCGGCGCTCGAGAGCCGAGGAGGGGGGGGGGGGGCCAGGCGGTGCCTTGGCCGCGAGTTTCGGCTCCGCCGTACCACCATTCTTAATGGGCTTCGACATGCTGCGACGTGAAAGTTGAAATGGAAATACACTGAGAACAAAAGCGATCAACGCTGCGAATGCAGCTCCAGCTCGAGACAGCTTGGCCACTGACAGAAGCGGTGCCAGAAACCTCGCATTGGTTGAGCCCACCCCCCACACACATCTGGCTCCCGCTGATACGATGTTGGATGCAAGAGGTCTGGCACGCCCTGGTTATCTGGCAATGTCCAGTCGAGAACCACTCTTGCAAACAGCCCGCTCAAACCCCGCCAGCCCTCCTGGCGTAAATGAGTTGGCGACCTAGCTTCCTCATCCTCTCTCCATATCCACCTCTTCCCAATGCGGCCAATACTCCCAGCGACCCTCCGCCAGCTCCATCGCCCTCCATCCTCCTCAACCAGCCTCCTCCGCATCCGCCTGCCTCCGCCTCACCATCCGCCCCCGAATGCCTCCCCCTCCACATCCGCCTGCCTCCTCCCTGCCCCCTCCTCCGCATCCTATAACATAATAGGTTATCATCCTCCGCCTGCCTCCTCCTCCTGCCTTCTCCTCATCCTCCTCATCCCAGCCCACCCTCTACCTTCCCGTTTTTCGCATTGAACCCGAAGCCCCCCAGGACAAAGACTGCGGCCGCTCGTCGGTGGCGGTATCCGCCTCGGCGGCCGCCGCGTCGCCGTGGCCGAGGCGCCTCTCCGACGCCACCTATAGGGCAGGGAAGAAGCGCTAACACCTAACACATAAACAATGCCTGGCGCGTGCCTGGCGAGCCAGGCACGCGATAGTCCGCGCGGGTGGTGGTTCCACATTTCGAGGTAGGCCGCGTGGCCTCCTGCCGCACGACTTCGCTCCAGTGGTTCCACATGTCCAGGTAGGCCGCGCGAGCGTTCCTCGCCACTTCCTGCGCGCCCGCCCCTTCCATGACCGCGCGGAAGTTGTCCCACTTGGTTCGGGCATTTTCCCTTGCCAACCAAGCAATGGTGTAGGCCTCCTCGAACTCAAAGCGGCTCTGCCGAACCTGGCCCCACCACGGCGGCACGCAGCCGCCCACCTCGGACTCAGCCTCTGCCGCCCACTCGCCGAACGGTGGGATCCACTGCCACTCGGGGCGCCGCGCCAGAAGCGGCTCGATTTGACCATCATATCTCTCCTCATCGCATTGAACCTCATATCTCCCCCGCTTCGCCTTTGGCGGCAAATCCTCAGATGGCTGCTCTGGCGCAACCTCCGCTCGCTGTTCTGGCGCATGATCCGAGGGCTGGTCTGGCTCATCCTCCACGGTGGTCGCGGGAGGCGCGCTGCTTTTGCTGGCATGGGCCCCATCTGCGGGGACAGCGCTAGGCGCGCTCTTGCACGCCTGCGCCTGGGCCTCGACCGTGAGGTGTCGCGGTGGTGGGCCTGGCGGCGGTCGCGGCACGCCGAGCTGCTTCGGCGGCACTGGCACCGCCCCCTCCTCGGCACTGGGGGGGGGGGGGGGGGGGGGGGAAGCCATGCGCCGCGGCTTGGCGGGCTGCGGGGCGCGCGTGAAGGCCACCACATGTGGCACTGGCACACGTGGCTTCCCGTACTTGGACAGCGGTGGCGGGTCGAACTTCGGCGGCGGCATGCCGCCGCGCCGCGGCCGCGGCAAGCGCTGGACCCGCGGGCGTTGAGCCACCGCGGCTCGGTCGCCAAGAGGGAACCCAAGGAGCCACCCAAGAGTGCCCAGGGATCCCACAAGAGGGGGCCCAGAGGACTCCAAGAATGCTCCAAGAGGGGACACAGAGGGCTCCAAGAGCCCCCACGAGGGTTCCAAGAGGGCCCCAATAGGACCCCAAGAGAGCTCTCTAGCAGGCATCACGCCAAACCCCGTCAGACGGAGCCCCCAGAGTCCCCCCCCCCACGTACTTTGTATAATTGCCATTTTCGAGGCGTTTCACAAAGTTGATGGGGGGGTGCGGTTTTCGTGGCCCGGCCGTGCCCCAGAGCCCCAGAGCCCCACCCCCCACTTGCTCAGTATAATTGCACTTTTCGAAGCTTCTCGCAAAGTTGATGCGGGGGTGCGGTTTTCGTGGCTCGGGCGGGCAGGTGGGCCGTTCGAGAGGGCATTTTAACGATTGTGTGTAATCGACCTGAACACCGAGGGGGTGCGTCACGGACGCATCCCCCTCTTGAAGAGTTACCCTAGTAATCCTCCTCCTTCTCTTCCTCCTCGTCTTATGCAGCATTATTCATCCTTCTACCCACTCCCTCAGCCATCCATCCAGCCTCCTTCTCCTCCTCCTCCCTCCCTCGAACGGTGCGGCGATCCCCTGCTCTGCTCTTTGCTCCTACACTTCCCTGGTCACCTCAGCTTGCCTGGGCGTCGTTCCTGGATGAGCTGGCGGGGATGCGCGAAGCGTCAAGACAAGAATTCCCACTCCTGTCCTGAGCCCCCCACCATCGCATTCGGCGCCGTCCTCATCCACCACCGTTACACGCGCCCACTCGGAAGATGATGCTGATGGCCGCCCTACTCATCATCCTCATCCTCCTCCTAATCATCCTCACCCCCGTAATTTCCTGGGCCAAAATGCACATCCAGAGTGACCCTCGCCAGTGCGATTCGCTACTAGACCGTCCCCCGTGCCCCTAACATCCACCCATCATCCTCATAATACCCACGTCTCCTCGGAGCGGCGAGAGCACGAACGACGACGACACGGCACCCATTCGGGGCAACCAGAGGACTCGAGAGAAAGGGCGCAATTTCTTGCGCTGGCTCGCACGAGGCGGAATCAAGCCTCGCCCAGAGACGAGGTGTCCAGATGGCCCTCCGCTGCCCCGCGTAGCAAGGCTGGGAGAAAAACAGCAACACCTCATTAGCTGGCGATGCAAACTTGCGTCTATCGAGCGCGGCACGCGGCGGCCGCGCCGTCAGGGCCCCCACGCCCATCCTGGCACGTCCTTCCCCCCCCCCCCCGATTCCCAACACTGGGTGCCTCGTCGCTGTCATCGTAATTGTCGCACTATCCCTCCTCCTCATCATCGCCGTCATGATCGCAAATCGCACGGTTGCCGATGCAAGCCCCGCCCAAGACATCCAATCACTCACTGGATCACGAGGGGTGGCGGGGGGGTATATGGCACCAAACGGTTTCTTCAGGTTCAACTGTCGCATGCCCCCCACCGCCAGTCTGCCATAGGTGTCCATATGTATATGGGGGAGAATGGGGGGCATACCCAGCTGAATGTACCGAACGCAGTTAGTAATGCAAATGTTGAATGTTAGGCACCATGCGCGACTGAACACAACGTACCATACGACATGGCACACTATACAATGCTTAGCTCCACCCCCAGTCCACCCGCACCATTACCCTGGGGGCCCCTCCCTTACCCCGACCACATCTCCTCGACACTGGGAAACGCTCGGGCGGCCCGACGCAAGACTACTCAAAAACTCGCGATGGCCGACTGAGACTGCTGTTCGTACCCCCATCCCCAGAAAGCATGCCCGGATACCTCGAGGGTCGAAGGCACGATCCGCGCCAGGTTCGAATTGAGCTCGCAACGCCAAAACGTTATGCAGTCTCAGCCTGGCGCATCGCTGCGAAGTCAATCACTGTCGCTGAATGACTCCTTATCCGATGGCGCATGAGGCGCATCAGGGTCGTGCTCGGGGGAGTTGAGATCGATGGGGCCCTCGGCGGGGCCCGCGGCGGGGCCCGCGGCGGGGCTGGCGACCAGGACGGGGATGCGCTTGAGGTCGATGTGCGGATGAGCCTTCGCGATGAGGTGGGCACCCTTCGGCGTGACGCGCACGGTCTTGAGCTCGTTGTTCTTGCCCTTGACCTGGGGGATGGTGGTTGGAGGCTGGTGGCAGCCAAACACGAAACCTGGCGGGGGGGGGGCGAGGGCGACGACGAGAGGAATTGGAGGGAAGTGGGCAAAAGGAGGCTCAGGGCGGGTTCAACTTGAGGTTTCGGTTGAGGTTTGGAGAGGGGGGCTCCCTCACCCGCCCCTTCGCCATGCCCTCAACGGAGGTCGTAAAACACACGCACACACACGCACGCACGCACGCGCGCGCACAAAAACGCGCTCGAAGGGCGCGGCGACGGCGCTGGCGGCTGGCAGCGCGCTATGATCGCGTGCCTTGCCACCGACGCCCTCGCCGCGCCATTCACGCGCCACCCCTTCCCGCTTCCGAAGGGGAAGCCCCATGACCTGGATCGTGCGCCCCTCGATGGCAGCGTGCTTCTTCGCCGTGAGCTTCACGACGCCTGGGACCCCGAAGGCCTTGCGGAGCGCCAGCTCCTGCGGCGCCAGCTTGCGGATCGCCGTCAGGACGCGCGCCACGGCGTTGGGGCGCACCTTTGGCGACACCCCTCGCCGTTCCCAATCTGGCCAACCTGCAGAACCGAGTCGCCGATCCACGGCGCTGCGCAGATCGGCAACCGAGCGCCGCAGGCCAGATTGTTCGGAGCGACGTGCGGTATCTTTGCACGCCGGCACCTTGGACACACCACCAGGAATATCCTCCCGCGTGTAGTCGGGGATCTTCTCGACGAGGTTCCAGCCCTGCAGGAGGCGCTTGGACGGCGGCGGCGGCCCCGCCTGCGGCCCTGGAGCTGCGCCACCTTCATCGCCGCCAGGGCCCTGCACTGGTAGAACAGGTGCCGCAGGAGGCTCGGCGCCAGCAGGCTCGCCTGGCTGGACCACCTCGGCGGGCCCTGGCCCAGGGCTCGGGACCGCGGCTGGCCTGATCACCTCGTCGGGCTCATACTGGCTCTGGGACGCCATTGCTCGGTCCAAGTTCGGCCTAGGACTAGCAGTGAAGCTGGGCGTCTGATGGTCGGTAGAAGCGATTGCTTGACCCTCGGGGCTAGGGCGAACTCAATGGCCAGATGCGCACGCATTTGGAGGTTTGCGATAAGCCTCTGGCGGCCTCCCTGGCCATCCCATGGGCCCCATCTGGGCCTCCTCCGAGCCCTGCTAGGCCGCGCTGGGGCCGACTTCGGTTTTTTTGCATACACACGAAATCACTGCAACTTGGGCCACCCCGGAGCCCTCGAGGGTAGAGGGGGGAGTACTCAGCGAGAGCGGCCCAAAGCCTCCCTGGTAGAAAGCGCGCACTTCGGGCGCGCTGTCCCAGGGACTGGGGGGGGGGTACTTAGGGCGCGCGGCACAGGGCCGACAAATACTACTTTCAGTATTACGTACCAGTCGGAGCGCGCGTCCAGGATTACTTTCAGGACTACTTACTAGTCAAGGCGCGCGTCCAGGACTACTTTCAGGACTACTTACTAGTCCGAGCGCGCGTGGCATCAAAATCAACTAATCAAAAACTAGTCAAACACTACTCTGGCGACTAGTTTTTGATTAAAAAACTACTCAAAAAACTAGTCGGCGTCAACTCGGCGATGTCAGCGAGACTAGTTAACTAGTCCTCAACTCGTCGCCGTGCCCTCCGACTAGTCGGCAACTAGTCGGCATCGAGTTGGGCCCCGTGTCAACAAGTCCCCATGGAGTCGGCGGCAGCTCGGGCGCCAGATGAACAAATTCAAAGCTACCCCCGAACCCAACGGAAACGGCCAGGAGGCTCGCGGCAAGGAAGACCCAGGAGAATAGGGCTTGCCAAAAGGATGGCCAGGAGAGAGGCGGCAAAGAGGAGGACCAGGGCCCATCTCGGGAGCCATTCCTGACACCATGCCCCCAGGAGGCGCCCATGTAGCCCCGCGAGGGACTCCATGGCATCATAGCATGGAGCTGGGCCTCTGAGACCATGGGGTGGGGTTCCTGGAGCCGCCCCGACGCACTCTCGGGGCCGTCTTCGGGCCCGCATTGGGCCCGTCTGAGGGCCATCGGAAAAGCCCGAACGAGCTCCGACACGACCCCGAGGGAATTCCACGCGAGGTCCTAGACCCTCCATGAACCCCAAGGGCCCAAACAAGCCCCAACTGCATTCATAAAGTTGGGCCTTGCACGACACGGGGGCTTCTTGGACCCGTATTGGAGCCAAGAGGGGGCCCAAGAGGCGGTCCAAGACGACGGCTTCGTATACCCAGAAGGCGGCTCACTACGACTGCCAAGCGATCCCAAGAAACACCCAAATATGCACCCGCACTTGGTCGCACCATCGATGGCGGGCTCGGCGGATGCAACTGAAACGACCGCCGAACGGGCGCGACCTGCCAGCCCAATCAGCCATTTCAATCATTCAGTTGGCCTTGACCGCCTACTTCGAGAAACAAACGCGGACCACGCAGGCTCCCGACGCAAGCACGCCCCGTCACCATCCGATGGGCCGTGGCGCGGCGCGCCGATGGAGAAGCTCACGGCCCCATAACCGCACCCATCTTCCTGCCCCTGACGACCGCCAGATCCAATAACAATTGCGTTTTCACCGACCGATCACACAGATAACAAAATCCTATGCCTTTCCGATGGGCCCCTCGCCCTCGCCAGGCCTACGTCTGCGCTCGACCTCTTCCAAGCGAGCAAACTCGGGGATGGCAGCTCTCCATGCCAGCCTCGCAGCCAAGCGGACATCGTGCTCGGGCATGTATAAGCCGTGCGAAAAGCGGCACGGCGCGTTGTTCCTGGCTAGCCATGCGCACAAATACCCGAGAGGCCTGCCTTTTGCAGGGTTCCGTTCCGACTCCCACCTGTAATCACCCCTATTCCTAGAACAAGCACCGTGAGGACCTGTGTGCCCGCTATTGCAGCATGCATAGATGCGCCCTGAGTGTCGATACCACGTGAGCCGACCGCCCAATCCTGGTACATACACCGAGATGTCACAATCGAACATGTGCCCCCTCCGGCCGAGGCCACCCTTGCCTGGCCGCGGCTCGGGCGGCGAGGGGGGATAGGAGGGCCATCGACGTCTCCATCCTCGCCCTCGCTCGCGCTCCCAGACGGCTCAGTGTCAGTGTCAGCGCCATACTGACTCCCGATCGCAACGTCACTGACATGCTCCTCTCCAGACCCTCCAGGCTGCTCTTCGCCGCCCTCGTCGGATGCGCCCCAAGGATCAGACTCGCCCTCCCAGCGGCCGTCTCGCGAACTGGCCTCATCTTCCTCCTCATTCTGCTCATCCTCTTCCTGGGGGAGGGGTCGACGGGCACTTGGGCGACGCTGGCGCCGCCCGAGGCGCGGGTTGACCGCGATGGGCGGGCCCCCAGACACACGGGCGGGCGGGGGTGGACGGACCAGTTGCATAGGGATGACGAGTGGAGGGCGCAGGCATGGCCCACCCAATCCAGACTTAATCCCAACAGCGCCCTGGGCTCCAAGAGCCCCCCCCCCCCCCCAGAGGGCCCCAAGAGGGCCCCAAGACGGGGCTCCGCAAGGCTTCTCAGGGCCACGGGGGCAAACATATCGGGATGCATTCCTGGTCCCACAGGCCCGCTCGGGTATCAGATGCCTACGTCTTCTCTGGCCGTGAGGACTCTCAGGGCCACGGAGAAACGCACTGGGCAGGGCGCCGTTTCCGGCTTCCTGGGCAAACAGAACCCAACGGCCCTCTCGGGCCTGTGGCCCAGCGTTTTTTCTCTGGCCGCAAGGCCTCCTAGGGCCACAGAAAAAAAAACACGTCGCTTCCGAAAGGCTTCCTGGGGCTTCATGACCCAACGGCCCTCTTGGGCCTCAGGCCAAGCGTTTTTCTCTGGCCGCAATGCCTCTTAGGGCCACAGAAAAAAAACATATCGATTCCGAAAAACTTGCTGGGGCTTCATAACCCAAGGGCCCTCTTGGGCCTGAGGCCAAACGTTTTTCTCTGGCCGTAAAGCCTCTTAGGGCCGCAGAAAATATCGATTCCGAAATGCCTTCTGGAGCTTCATAACCCGACTGCCCTCTTGGGCCTGAGGCCCAGCGTTTTTCTCTGGCCGCAAGGACTCTTGGTGCGACAGAAACAAAAAACATTTCGAGTCCGAAAAGCCTTCTGGGGCTTCATAACCAAACGGCCCTATTTGGGCCTGAGGCCCAGCGTTTCTCTCTGGCCGCAAGGCCTCTTAAGGCCACAGAGAAAGAAAAAGAAAAAGAAAAGAATATATTATATATTATATATATATATATATATATATATATATATATAAAAAAAAAAAAAAAAAAAAAAAAAAAAAAAAAAAAAAAAAAAAAAAAAAAAAAAAAAAAAAAAAAAAAAAAAAAAAAAAAAAAAAAAAAAAAACGAAAGGCCACCTGGGGCTTCATAGTCCGACGGCCCTCTTGGGCCTGAGGCCAAGCGTTTTTCTCTGGCCGCAAAGCCTCTTAGGGTCCCAGAAGGAAAACTTATCAATTCCAAAAAATTTTCTGGTGCTTCATAACCCAACGGCCCTCTTGGGCCTGAGGCCAAGCGTTTTTTTCTCTGGCCGTGATGCCTCTTAGGGCCACAAAAAAAAACGATCTGACTGAGTGTGGCGCGATGCCTGCTAGAGCTCTCTTGGGGTCCTCTTGGGGCCCTCTTGGAACCCTCTTGGGGGCCTAGTGGAGCCGCCTGTGGGCCCTCTTGGAGCCGTCTCGGGGGTTTCGGAGCCGTCTTGCGGGCCCTCTTGGGCCACCTCGCCAAACTCCGTCTGACGGAGTTTGGTGCGATGCCTGCTAGAGCTCTCTTGGGGTCCTCTTGTGGCCCTCTTGGAACCCTCTTGGGGGCCTCATGGAACCGCCTGTGGGCCCTCTTGGAGCCGTCTCGGGTGGTCGGGACCCGTCTTGCGGGCCCTCTTGGGCCACCTCGCCAAACTCCGCCTGGCGGAGTTTGGCGTGATGCCTGCTAGAGCTCTCTTGGGGTCCTCTTGGGGCCCTCTTGGAACGCTCTCGGGGGCTCTTGGAGCCCTCTGGGGGGGGGGCCCCTTGGAGCCCTATTGGGGCCCTCTGGGGGCCCATGGACACTCCCCATGGGTCCTCGGATTGCCCCGAGACGGCTCCCAGATGCCCCCGAGAGTGCCCCGAGAAAGCGCCACGATCGGTCACGCGAGAGAAGATTCGCGTGACCCCTCTTGGGCCCCTCATGGGGCAGTCTTGGGGTCCGTTTGAACCCGTCTTGGGCACCTCTCGGGCCCCTCCCAAGCAACCCAGACGGCCCCACAGGGGGCCTAATATTGCCCCCAGAGACTCCAAGCAAGATTGGGCCCTTCTTGGCGGCTCTCTTGGGGGAGGGGCATTTGTCACGCTGCGTGCTGCTACACGGAATGCTACTACATGTCCCTGGCCATGTCAACTCGCCTAGGCATCTTCTCTGGATGGGCTGGCGGGGATACGCACAGCGCTAAGAATTGCCACGCTGTGCTTATGAAGTTGTCTGCGTGTTTGGTTTTGCTGTGTTTGAGGGGGTGGGAGGGGGACGGGGGCCTTGCCGACTGCCCGCGACTGTCCTCAGCAGGAGGATCGCAGTCCGAATGATCCGGGTTGGAATCCTCGGGCGCGTAGGCAAGCAGCGGTGAAGCGGCGGCGGCGGCGGGGGGGGCGTCTTCGATTGCATGCGCCCCCCTCGGGCCCCCGCGGCCCGCGCCCCTAGCAGCGCCGCCCC